AGTGGAATCAAATCATGCCGATTTTACCAAAGGACGACATGGAGGGTATCCGTACCCGAAATCAACGCCAGCTGGAGACGGACCAAAGGCGATTTGGTGGTGCAACGTCGCAGACATCGGAGGGCAAGCTACCGACTACGGAGGCCGGCCCGTCAGCAGCTCCTGCATCTGCATCACCTGGTTTAGGTGCTCTGATGATGATGCTGCAGGAGCAGGCCCACCGACAGGAGATACGGGCCCGTCGGTTGGAAGAGCAGCTGCAGCGCGGTATTGAAGAGCAGATGCTCCTCAGGAAGGACCTTTAAGCTACCTTCGGGAAAGAGATAAGGGAGGTGAAGCATATGGTTGCTCAACATGACAACCGCCTGTCGGAAGCTGAAACCCGAATCGACCAAGTGAACAATCGGGTTGACAACGTGATGGCTGATGTGAAGAAAACGCTGGACGACCTGAAAGTTGGTGTACACGCTCTTAGCTGTCCCGACGAAGGTCGACTATACAGGGGCCCATAATCTGTAGAATCGACGGATAACTAAGGACGGGGCCCAATGGCCTTATGGAAAATGTCCTATCATACTACACAATAGGGAGAAGGCTAGGTAAATAAATAGTACGTACCTGTTCAGAGGCGAAGAAGGCTCACAGGGCTCGTTCAGGTGTTAATTGTCATGAATGTAAGTAGCGTGTGAGAGGTGTATATCTGTGTAACCTGAATTAGCCCTTTTAATCAGCAGCCACCCTGACTCTGGCACGGCCCCCAGCGTGGTATTCTCCAGTGGCGGCAGCAATGGACTATTTCTTTCTTCAATTCACTATGTCAGTCTATCAACTTTAACGTACATTTAACTAACTTCAAGACGCAACTAAATCCGTTAATTATAATCAAAAAACCTAACTCGCGGCACGACGTTCACTCCGCAACAAATTATTTAGAAAACCAAACGCGACCTTTTAAGGCATTTAACGCAACGGTACAATTAAACACTAACTTCTCAATAATTAGCCAACCTGGCGTCTAATATTCTAGACTACACAATTACTCGTCGCTGCACAAATCCCTTAACAAAATCTGCGCTATTAGAGGCAACCACGCGGCTCGATTCGATTCACAGCAATCAATATACCATCTAATCCGAGGCGGTCTTCATTTACACAATTTAAGTAGCGAAGTAACGCGCACGAATACTGAAAATCTACCCGAAATCGCTGCCACGGTTACTACAAATTAGTTATGTTGCGACGGCGCCGTGGCCCTAAAGTTACTGTTCTCGCACTCGCGTTCTGCGCCCACGCCCTCTGCCGGACGACGCACACGGGAGTGGGGCACGGTGATCTTTACAAAGTCAGCGGGCGGACACGAGTGTAGAATGCGAACTTCAAATGTTAATTGCTTGGCCTAAACATTTGGGGATGAAATTACAGCTCCCGTGGTAGCTACAACACCTTCGCTACGTGGATTCAAACCGTTTGACGGGACTTCTTCCTGGTCGGCCTACAAAATCCTGTTCGAGGCTGTTTTGAAAGCGAACGGCTGGAATAAAAATCAGGCCATGACTGCTCTCACCCTAGGCCTACGCGACCAGGCCTTAACTGTTCTGGAAGCTCTCGGTAAGAAAGTGACTTATGACCTTGAGGCATTGGAAGCAAGATGTGGCAATGCTCACCTGAAACACGTCTTTCGTGCGCAGCTCAAAGATCGCGTGCAATGCAGCAACGAAAACCTGCAGCAGTGGGCCCTTGAGTTGGCGAGGCTGGTTCGAAAAGCATACCAGTCTGTACCTGCGCTCATTGTAGGGAACCTGGTGCAGACATTCATCGACGGCATCCGCGACCTTGAAGTCAGAGCTGCTGTGAGGCTCAGGCACCACGAAACGCTAAAGGACGCGTTGGCACATGCACTGGAGGTAAAAGCCGTGCAGCAGGATCATCGTTCCTATCGCGTCAGGGAGGTTGCAGCGGCTACAGTTCGCGACTGCAGTAAAGGATACAGCCCTAAGTGCTGCGACTGTGGGGAAAGGACACACGGACATACAGGACATACAGAAGGAACTGTAGAAAGGGAAGGTGATCGATCTTGAGAGGGTAGTGTGGCTAACAGCACCGCTCAGCAGCAGCAGGGAAACTGGTGGGTGCTGACTGATGTTAGAAGAGGTATTCCTAAGATTGTCCATGTGGATCGACTGGCGCGTTATTATGGGGCCAGTAATGCTCGGGACGAGCATGTCTTAGGAGGGGGCAGTGTTGCGCGCCACTATTAATTCTTGTACATGGCAACACTAGGACAGTCAAGATCCTTCTAGAAATATCGGGACCGATATGTACTCGAACATTCGGGATGTTTCTGGAAACTACATGAGGCCTTATATAAGGCCAGTATAGACCGCGACCGAGGGAGTATTGAATTGTCGATACAAAAGAATACTTCGAAGCGAAATAACTGCGAACTAAAGTGTTTAATATTAAGTTTATTTTGTTTATCTAGTGGATAATAGATGGCGCCACTATTTTACCAGCAACTAATATAGAATCTTTAGAGTGGGTTGAGCTCCCTAAAATGACCTTAGCTGACCCAGAATATTATACCTCCAATCGAGTCGACCTATTATTAGGAGCTGAGGTATATAGCCAGATGATCAAAGATGGAGTGAAAAAGGGTCCATATGGTACCTACACCAGTGGCGCAGTCAACGACATTAGGATGGATTTTGTCAGGTACTGTTAACACTTCACGTAATTCTTTTCAAAAAATTCACGTAATGCATTGTCAGGTTCAAGACAACGAAATGTTAAAAAAATTTTGGGAATTAGAAGCTGAAGTTAGTCTTCCTAGGCTAAAGTTACTGACAGAAGAGGGAAAGCGATATGAGAAATTGTTTGCTGAATCAGTGCAAAGAGACGAAGATGACAGATATATTGTCCGTCTTCTCTTCAACACGTCAACTCCTGAAGTAGGCGATTCGTTGAGAATATCTGAAAAACGATTGCAATCATTAGAAAGAAAATTCAATTATAATAAAGTACTGAAACTTAGATACAGAGATGTCATAAATGATTACCTTTATCTAAATCATATGGAGTTAGTGAAATCACCAGATATCAGCACAAAGGCCATTTATATTCCCCATCATGCGGTTGTTAGGGAGGACAATGAAACCACAAAGGTAAGAGTGGTTAATGATGCATCATGTAAAGGTTCAAATAATAAGTCATTGAATGATAACTTGATGGTGGGCCCCTTACAATCAGATTTAAGACATATGATAATGAGATGGCATGCTTTTGCGATATGTCTATCGGCTGACATTATCAAAATGTATCGCCAGGTTAAGGTTCACCCAGAGAATGTCGATTATCAACGAATGCTTTGGAGGGAAGATAGTACAAAAGAAATAAAACATTACAGAATGTTAAGAGTAATTTTCGGTACTGAATATGTTCCTTACCTGGCAGTGAGGGTTTTGCAGCAAGTAGCTCTTGATGATGGGGCTGAATATCCATTTGCAGCTACTTGCGTCCTGCAAGATTTCTACAGCGACGATTTATTAACGGGCTGTCGCAATGTAGAAGAAAGTGTAACTGTCCATAAAAAACTAAGGGAATTGTTAAGCAAAGGGGGATTTCAGTTACAGAAAAGGTCAAGCAACAACGACGACCTACTAGAAAAAATAGCAGAAGGAGACAGGATTAAAGGATAAGATGCAGAAAAGGGATTAAAGATTACCGGAAAGAGCTAAAACTTTAAAAAAAGTAACTGTTTCGCGTTGGTTGCGATCTAAAGAAGATGCCACAAGAATAGAGCTGCATGGTTTCTGCGATGCTTCCAAGGTAGCCTATGCAGCTGTCGTATATATGAGAGTCATTGATTCTGATAACAACATTAAGGTCAGTCTGTTGACAGCTAAAACTAAAGTTGCACCAATAAAACAAGTGTCAATTCCAAGGTTAGAGTTATACTTTTATCAAAATTATTGGTAGAAGTGGGAGATGTGATGAGAATCACAAAAGAAAACTGGTATGCGTGGACAGATTCCTCAGTTGTCCTAGTTTGGATCAACAGTCACCCAAACAAGTGGAAGACCTTTGTGGCAAATAGAGTGTCAACAATTATTGAATGTGTCGAACCTTACCAATGGTCTCACATAAAGTCTAAACAAAATCCAGCAGATTGCGCTTCTCGAGGCCTTCGGCCGTCCGAATTACTACAATCGTTGTAATGGCAAAATGGTCCTGGATTATTAAAAGAAAAAAATAATAACAAAAAATAAATTAAATAATTTTGAAACAAATTTAGAAGAAATCAAAGTTTTAATGGTTACAGTCGAAGATGAATTTTGGAGTGGATATTCTTCACTCAATAAATTGCTTCGGGAAATTGCTTATTGTAGGCAATTTTTGAACCTGCTGAAACCAAAAGAAGAAAGGCACAATAATCGAATTTTAACAAAAGATGAAATTAATCAAGCTAGAGAAACTTGTATAAATGAAAGTCAAAAAGCAAACTTTACAGAAGAAATCAAAGCTTTGAAAAGAAAAGAAAGAATAAAAAGGAGTAGTAAAATACTTACCTTAAATCCATTCTTGGACGCCAAGGGCATTTTAAAAGTTGGTGGGAGGCTTAACAACTCCAACTTCGCTGAAGACAAGAAACATCTAATACTGATTCCAAAACTTGGGTTTTTGACAAAATTATTAAAAGACGAGGCTCATAAAAACACTTTACATGGTGGAGCACACTTAATGTTAAGTTACTTACATTCTAAATTTTGGGTAATAGGTGTCAAACCCTAGATTAAGGCACTTTTTACGCAAATGTACAATTTGCGTAAAAAGCGCTGCATCCGCACAAAATCCACTGATGGGACAGCTTCCTTCTTTTAGAGTCACACCAGAAAGACCATTTAAGAAATGCGGAGTTGATTACGCGGGACCTATCAACATCCGAACCACTAAGGGTCGAGGTTTCCAAATCCTATAAAGGATACATTTGCTTATTCGTCTGCATGGCGACCAAAGCTGTACACATCGAGGCCGTAGGTGATTTAACCTCAAAAGTATTTCTGGTCGCTTTTCGTCGTTTCATTGTTAGGCGAGGTCATTTTACGGATTTGTGGAGCGACAATGGTACCAATTTCGTGGGAGCTTCACGTGAACTGCAATCTTTGTTTAAATCGGAACAATCATATTTAAGAAAGGAGGTAACAGAGAGTTTAGCCTCTACCGGTACCGCTTGGCATTTTATCCCTCCTCGTGCTCCGCACTTTGGAGGTTTGTGGGAGGCTGCAATTAAATCAATGATATTTCATTTAAAAAGAATAATTGGGGATCATACGTTAACATATGAGGAGCTAGCTACGGTGCTTAAAAAGTAGAGGCATGCCTGAATTCTAGGCCACTGTCGAGGATAGGGAATTTATCTGATGATTTTCTGACGCCTGGGCACTTTCTAGTAGGAGAACCGTTGGTTACTGCTCCTGATTATAATTATGAGACTTCGAGCATTTCTTCATTAAGGAGGTGGCAGCTAACACAACGTATGTTACAAAGTTTTTGGCGTCGATGGTCGAATGATTATAATAATCAATTACAACAGCGATACCGATGGAAGGACCAAACGCCAGAGCCCAAAAAAGGCGATGTGGTACTCGTTAAAGAAGATAACTTACCGCCTTGTAAATGGCTTCTCGGTGTCATTGTAGTGAAACATCTAGGCAAGGATAATATCACTAGAGTCGTTACTTTACGTACGAAAAATTCTTTGCTCAAGCTCTCGACCAATTGCGTGTTCAAAAATGTGTTCTCCCAACTACTAAATAAATTGTTGAAAAAAATATATATTGTTATGTGTAAATGATCTACTTAGAAATCTATTTAATAGTCTTTAATTTTGTGTTCTCAGTTTTAAAGTTTCTGTAATTTTATATCCCAAAAAAAATGTATTCATGGTGGGCGGAATATTAAAGGACAATTTGACATATTGTCCTTGGTGGGCGGTATGTTTAATATTAAGTTTATTTTGATTATCTAGTGGATAATAGATGGCGCCACTATTATTTTAAGGCAAACTATGGTTGCGTTATTGTAAAGCTAGTACGTTAATAATAATTAATTTTTATTGGTTGGTATTCGTACACACTATATACTATTCAAGTAAGGTTTATTAATTAAACAGTGAAGTGATAAAGTTGGTGTCTTTCTTTCTCGTATCTCGAGGGATCCATAGTGCTCCTTGTGTTGTACATAAAGTGATTTTGTTTTATTATTAGTGTGGTTTTAGATTGTAATTAGTTTCGTGTAATTAAAGTGTCAATTTTAGTAATTCAATCGGCAGTTTTTAATTGTCTCGAACCCCAAGCTCGTAACAATTGGTCTCAGAAGGGGGATCAAATCATGCCGATTTTACCAAAGGACGACATGGAGGGTATCCGTACCCGAAGTCAACGCCAGCTGGAGACGGACCAGAGACGATTTGGTGGACTTTTACTTCACTAAGTGGCCAGAAGTCTTCGCCATTCAAAATCAAGAAGCTTCAACAGTTGAAGATAAACTAGTTCATGAAGTCTTCTGTCGTTTTGGAGTACCATTAGAGATTCACAGCGATCAAGGAAGGAATTTTGAATCTCAAATATTCCAAGAAATGGTAGAACGATTTAATCAGAGATTGGAGAGGTACCTAGCAAAAGTTGTGGAAAAACGGCAACGAGACTGGGACAGGCACATACAACCGTTTTTGCTGTCATATCGAAGCGCTGTTCACGAAAGTACATCAGTGACAACAGCTTTCGCAAACTTTGGGAGAGAATTACGGCTGCCTGCCGACTTGATCACCGGAATACCACCTGATGCCCCACGCAGTATAACCGATTATGCAAATAACTTGCGGAACTAAATGAATGACATTTATGAGCACGTCAGACAGACGGGCCAGCAAACGTCTGAGAAGATGAAAACACGGTATGACCGCAAAATTAACAACAAAGGGTTTGACGAAGGTTCACTAGTGTGGTTACACAATCCAGTTCGCAGCAAAGGGAAATCTCCTAAGCTTCAAGCTAAATGGGATGGACCGTACCGGATTGTGACAAGGGTCAATGACGTAACCTACCAGATACAGAAAGGTGCCAGAGGTACTCCTAAGATCGTTAATGTGGATCGACTGGCGCGTTATTATGGGGCCAATAATGCTCGGGACGAGCATGTCTTAGGAGTAGGCAGTGTGGCACGCCACTATTAATGTCTTGTACATGGCAACACTAGTTACCACTAGCGCCCTCTAGTGTCGAGTAGTAGAACTAGAGTCAAGATCCTTATAGAAATTTCGGGACCGATATGTACTCGAACATTCTAGATATTGCTACAGTAGAAGGTTCTGGAAACTATCTAAGGCCTTATATAAGGCCGGTATAGACCAGGACCGAGTCAGTATTGAATTGGTGATATAAGCGAATACTTCGAAGAGATATAACTACGAACTAAAGTGATCAGTAGTACAATTGTGTTTTACTATTAGTGTGTTTTTAAAAACGCAAACGAAGTTATCTGAGAGTAAGACCATAAGTAAAATTATTCGAGGATTAGTTACGCTGCTGTAACATTACATTTGGTCGAATCCACCCCTATTACTATATTTTTATTACATGTTTAATTAAGCGTGTAATAAGGTATACTTTAATGTAATTTTGTCCCGTCACGGTTCTTTGAACGATGTCTTCTGACGAGTTCGTGTCTCTATAAATTGTGGCGGCGCTGTCGTCGCGCCACAAGCGAAACACATCGAATCCTAAATCGCGCTAACAAAGTTCCGAAATTGAAGCAATAATATATATAGAATAGCTCCGAACTACCAATCGGAGCGTTGGCCGCTCCCCGGGCAGAACACCTTGCTCGGCGGGAGATCTCCTTTTCCTTCCACCGACTACATTGGTTACCCCGACGTGATATGAACACGCAACCAAACGAACCTTCGGAAACCTACACCTTCAAACCTTCATCATCCTCAAGTTTCCCATTCATTCGCTCCCGAGCAGATATTGTCTGCAGTCTTCATATTCTTCCAGTCATCTAGCTTTACAAAGGTTCATCGCAGCATTGGAATAATAATGCTTCCTGTTCCTTCAAGCTAATCTCTGCGCTACAGTGTTCGGCACGGCTCTGAGCCTTACTGCTTGCCTCTGCATCACGGCACTCTCGCAGACTACTTTCCTTCTTCTCGACTCACCGCAGACTACAAGGCAATCGCTGGCTCTTGCTTCGGCTCATCGTTCTCACCTTCATCACTTGCATGTGCGTAGTACGGCATGCATTACACACCGGCATATCGTTCGCACCGGCGTCACCTGCCCATACGCACACGGCATTCATTCCCTACCGGATTTAAGGACGCTCCGGCAATCGGACTGCAGTATCGACCTCCGGTCTGAGCAATGGGGTGAAGTGGCGGCGCTGTCGTCGCGCCACAAGCGAAACACATCGAATCCTAAATCGCGCTAACAAAGTTCCGAAATTATAATAAAAATATATATACGAGTAGAATAGCTCTGAACTGCCACTCGGAGCGTTAGCCGCTCCCCGGGCAGAACACCTTGCCCGTTGGAAGATCTCCCCTTTTCCTTCCTACGGCCACAAAATGTTCCGTTTGTTTTACAGCTTTGTAAAATATTTAGAGACGAGACCCGACGGTATGTCTTTGGATGCTTAGGGGAGAGATAAAGCTTTAATGTAAGATACTAATTGGCACTTTGGCAGCCTTTCATTTTAGGAGTACCTCGTTTAAAGCAGGGTGGAATCAGAGGCAACTGAACTAAGTAGCCAAATATGTGTCTCTGAGAGGTGAGTACATATTTTTGCCATTTGCTTTAGAGAATATAATATGTCCGTGGGGTTCACGTACGGTGAAGTTCCAAAAAAACCTATTCACGACTAATCGTCGCTTCTTGTGATAAAAGGGCTGCTTATTTTCTCGTTTAAAGGCTAAGTATAATCACTCAGATAGTTTCCTCTCTGTAGCCAGAGTTTTTGGCACTGTAGTACTGTGAGTAGGACTGAATGATAGTTTAATTTTTAATTTTTATTATAATTTTTTGATATTGTACTTTGAATTTCGAAAATGAAGTTGTAAATTACTGATATTTATATAATTTAAAGTTTAAATCTTTGAAATTGAATGATCTATAACTTTCAAATAAATTGTCTCTTGCTTCGTCTCATCGTTTAACTTTCAAATAAATTGTCAGTACAGTAAATAATCAACTAGTGTAAGTAAACCAGCGTGAAGTAGAGGTTTACCTCTGCGTTTCGCTTGGTGAGTGCAGGTGGCCGGAGGCCCTTTTTACTGGAAATGATGCATTTCATTTTAGTCCTCACGGGTGACAACGCATCTACATTTTGATTTCTAATAGAGGATAGATGTAGATGTCTATGGGCCGCAGCAACCACTTACCATCAGGTGGACTGTGTGCTCGTTTGTCACCCAAATCCTATAAAAAAAAATTGTACTACACCGATAACCTACGCGCAAGTGCAAGCAATAAATTGACAAAGGAATACCGCAATGTGATGAACGCGGCATGGCAGTGCTTAAAATTTGAATAAACAAACATTAGTTTTATATAGTAGAATACCTAATTTATTCTCTGTATAGACAGACCTATAGATATTTAGAATAGGCGTTATTTTAGCAGCCGATTTTTTTTTTCTATGATACTAGAACTGAATGAACGGTTGACAATAAATGCTTTGGGAAATTATGTTTTTATTTCTACTTAAGTTATACGTCTTTTGGCGCGTTTGGTAATAATTATGAGAGTGAAAATTTACGATACGCGTTCACACCGACAACACCTAAAAACGAAACCATGAGGATTCTACAATGCGCGCGCACCCTAACACCTAAAAGCGACAACTTCAGTTGGTAATCGTCTCTAAAATTTTTGTGAGAACTGATAACTATATTCAAGGTCGCTTTATTCAAAATTCAAATATATATTATGTACCTGCAAAACATGTTTTATTTCTATTATAAACTCTTTTAAGGCTTAAGGTTAAGATTTAAAGATAACTGTCGGTATGTACTCTTTTTACTTTTTTACATTATAAATTATTATTTATCTATAGCGAGTCTAAAAACATATCACGAATACATTTTGGCAATTTCAGTGAACTATAGTGATAATTAGTAATATGTGTATAATGCGATGGTTTTTCCTTATAGATTCACTTCTTCTTTCGCAAACTTATTCTATCAGAAGAATTGTGTTACGTAGTAGATACAGAAGAAGAAATTATTGAAAAAGTGTATCCGTCTATTGAACAGAATTATCTAAATAGGACATAGTTGTGTGAGCGAGCAATTTTAGCTACAAAAAATTATGTA